CGTCTGTGGGTGGATGTGGCCTTGCCGTGGGGCTGTCCTGTACGTCGGGAGCAGCGTCTGTGGCTGGCTGTGGCCTTGCCGTGGGGCTGTCCTGTACGTCGGGAGCAGCGTCTGTGGCTGGATGTGGCCTTGCCATGGGGCTGTCCTGTACGTCGGGAGCAGCGTCTGTGGCTGGATGTGGCCTTGCCATGGGGCTGTCCTGTACGTCGGGAGCAGCGTCTGTGGCTGGATGTGGCCTTGCCATGGGGCTGTCCTGTACGTCGGGAGCAGCGTCTGTGGCTGGATGTGGCCTTGCCATGGGGCTGTCCTGTACGTCGGGAGCAGCGTCTGTGGCTGGATGTGGCCTTGCCATGGGGCTGTCCTGTACGTCGGGAGCAGCGTCTGTGGCTGGATGTGGCCTTGCCATGGGGCTGTCCTGTACGTCGGGAGCAGCGTCTGTGGCTGGATGTGGCCTTGCCATGGGGCTGTCCTGTACGTCGGGAGCAGCGTCTGTGGCTGGATGTGGCCTTGCCATGGGGCTGTCCTGTACGTCGGGAGCAGCGTCTGTGGCTGGATGTGGCCTTGCCATGGGGCTGTCCTGTACGTCGGGAGCAGCGTCTGTGGCTGGATGTGGCCTTGCCATGGGGCTGTCCTGTACGTCGGGAGCAGCGTCTGTGGCTGGATGTGGCCTTGCCGTGGGGCTGTCTTGTACGTCGGGAGCAGCGTCTGTGGCTGGATGTGGCCTTGCCGTGGGGCTGTCCTGTACGTGGTGGGGCAGTGTCTGTGGCCCTACTCAGTTGCACTTTCCCAGTCGCTGCAGAAGTGTCTTTAGAGGTCGCCGAACGTCCCTTGGGGATCAAAATTACGCCTGGTTGAGATCTACTGGCCTAGATTCTTCCCCAAGTTGAATCACTTTGGAACTCCGCAGTTCTGGGTTGCAGTTCCGGCTTGCCCGGTTTCCCGAGCACTGTCTGACCTTCGGCAGTTCACGTCGCCGCTCTGAGCCTGTTTCCTGACTATAAAGCGTGCTGCTAGCCTCCTCTAGTCAGGCTGGTAGTGAGGTTGCATGCAGCCACCTGGCCGGTGCCTCCCCAGCAGAGGCCACTTGAAGAGAGCCCGTGTGCTCTGATTACACGCCCCACGTTCATGGTGCTCGTCTAAGTACATGGCCGACTGTCTATGCTAGACATCCCTGAGTTTTGATTTTTACTCATCTTCGCTAAGGTGCACACCCAGTGCGTATATTAAGATGAACAAGCTTAACAAGTGGAAAATTTTCAAAGCTTTTCCTAAGTGATAGCTAGATTTAGAATTCTGGAGCTGATTTTCAAAATACTGGGGGCAAGTTAGCTATGACGTATTTACTGGGAGGAGACGAAGTGCAATCAGTTCAGCAGTGACTGAGGCCCAGTGTGAGATTTTTAGGAAGACAAATCAGGTACCAAATAGTAAATATCTAGACAGTAAAATAACAGCTAAATTGCCTATTTTTTCTTTTCTTTTTTTTTTTGGAGAGATTTTCACTGTAGGGCGCGTGCGCTCGCCAGACAGACAGAGAGAGACATAGAGACAGAAAGCGAGAAATCACCCCCCAGGGGGGATGGTCACGCCGCAATCCCTTCTCCTCCATTCTCCTCTCGGGATCTTGGGCACGCACGCACACGCGCCCGGCGTGAGTTTTAAGCCACCGGGTCCGGGACACGAACTGCGGTCGACTACGTGGGAGTCCAGCGACATAGCCATTACGCTAACTGCTGGTTCCCTAAATTGCCTATTTTTAAAAGGGGGGATAGCTCATAGCCTTGGTATTTTCTTTGGAAAAACAGTCCTTTAGCTTTTATAATCTTTTAACTTAAGTGCTTTTTGCTTTAGATTTTTAAACTTGGTAAATAGTCTTCATGTAGTTCTATGATGTTAAGTTTTTTCAGAAGTTTTTTGTATTCTTCTTTAAACTTCATTTATAGGTTGAATGTGCCATTGACGGAGAAAGGAAAATACCAACTTCACTGAGGGGTGTAGGCATGTATTCTTTCTCTTTGACCTGTGTTTTCTATTTACAATTTCAATAGCTCGGATCTTTTTGTACCTGCGATAAAGTCCCTGAATCATTTAAAATATCAAAAAGACCTTTTATATTATCGAGTCTTTAAATTGTTCTTTTTTGCTTCGGCTAGTAATATGACAGGATCATCCGTTATGTACTAATTTTGAGAGCAGCACTATTATTCAGACTTGTTTATAGCCTTAAAATTTAATTTAATTTTTCCTGTAAAAAGATAATATGATTACCAAGTGACTTTTTCAACAGTGTAAGCTGCAAATCGTGGTGTTCTCTGACCTGCTTTTTTGATGCTATTCAGATTGAAAAAAATAAACACTATTGCCTCTTTTGTAGAAAAAGTAATGGAACTTTATATACTAAAAATATTTGGGATTTTTTTCCCTCAGAAAGATAGTGAATAAAAGATAATAAGTTTATGCTTGTTTACCAAGCTATTCCTAATGTTGCAAAAGGAATGAAATAGTTCCTAATTACTCCATTTATCAGTTTAATTAGAAATGTGTTAACATTCTGTAAAGAAAAATTTGTGATTTTATGCCTAGGTGATCAAAAATGTATGACCTTATAAATATAATACTCATGTAAAACACACATCCGGCGTGTTCTCTGACTGCTGCTAGAACCTAACCGAATGATTAATTCATGAGCACTTTCTGTTATGATCTGTATTACCCACCATTTGCCATTTTCTCTTTTCTTGTTGGTGTTTGTTGTTGTAGGTACCAGCAGACAGGTGTTAGGTGGCTGTGGGAATTGCACTGCCAGCAGGCAGGAGGAATTCTGGGAGATGAAATGGGATTGGGCAAGACCATCCAGATAATTGCCTTCTTGGCAGGTCTGAGCTACAGCAAGATCAGGACTCGTGGTTCAAATTACAGGCAAGTGCTCCTCTGCAGACTGTCAGTCTGTGGAGCTCAATTAATATTTCATCAGATGTATTGCTGTGGAGGAGGGTCTTGTGAATTATTGATGACATTTCAATTACAATATTCCTTTAATTCTTTTAGTGGGGGACATCAAAGGAAAAATTTTACGAGACAATGGAGCTGTAGGGCAGGAGAAATTAAACATGTAACACTTTTAATGAATTCCAGGCATTGATGCTTCATTTTGCAGATGAGCCCCACTAGATATTTTGGGTCAATACGATGTCTAAGGTTAGCTTCTACAAATGGATTGTTTACAAACTCAATTATGTTAATATCAATAGTTTACACAATATGGAATTTTAAATTAGACATAATACCTTTAGTTCCATTTATTAAATTTTACATTAAAATATTTGTTCTGGCAAGAGACCAGGTAAGCATTACAGTAAGTACAAAGTCTATTCACGGGGAAAGTTGGAGCTTTGAAGAAGCCATCCTCCCTGATTTCCTTTATAGTCGGTGTGCGTGATAGCGTTTCGTGAGAGCTCACTCTTTTCTCTCTTTCTTTTTTAATTTGCTAGAGGGCATGTATGCTTGCCTGGGTGAGACAACACGTGGGGGGTGGTCACCCGTAATCCCTTCTCCTTTTGGGATTTCAAGCGCACATGCACATGTGCCTGGCATGTTTCTCAAGCTGCCAGGTTCAGAACTCGAACCACACAGTTGGCCATGTGAGTTCCAGCTGCCTTAACCATCGTGCCACTTCCTGGCCTCCACTTTTTGTTTTTGGAATGAAATTACTTATGGGCTTGCTATGCTCTTTGCTCTCCTCCCAGTCTTTACGAATCTCAGGTAAATTCTAAAGCCAAAGTCTAAATGAATATAATTACAGAAAGATGTGTTTAGATTTTCATCATTATTCTCTTTAGAAATTTAGGTAAATTATTAAGGATTTAGTATTCCAAGCAAATAAGCATTTAATCTGCACAATGTAGTAGGACCTACTTTGTCTTCCAATAAGGTACAGTGAGCATTCATCTTTAAGCTGTAAGTTGGCTTTATGGAGATTAGTCTTGGTAAAAATATTACTAGAGGATTTATGTAGGACATCTGATCTTGAACTCAGATAGTCTAAAAATTCCTTGTGTTTCAGTAGCTTTGTCTAATGAGTAACAAGGTATTTACCAGGTGGTTCTGTCCTAGGAATCCTGGGCACTCATTACAGAGGACCTGGAGACAGACTCCCTGAATGTGTCTGTGCCTGAAGTCAGCAGCTATAGATGGTTACTGTCCTACGCTCTGGTTCATCAGCAGAGAGAGATTTACTAGAGAGCCAAATATGAGCCATTAAAAATCAGATACAGAGGGACTGGCAGGTGGTGTGGTGGTTAAGGTGCTGGACTCCCCCATGGCTGACTGCGGTTCGCGTCTTGGACCCGGCGGCTTGCTTTCTCACTTTCCCTTTCTTTCTCTCTGTCTCTCTCTGGTCAAATGAAAATAAATAAATAAATATTTAAATAATTCCTCTTAAAAAATCAAATAAAGAATTTTTTTATTTTAGTCTTCAAGAGTTTAGTGCATTGTTTTTATTTCTTGCTCTCACATTAATTTGGTAGATTAGTATTTCTTGTGAGGGGTGTTCAGAGTTGTAGAGTATTTTAAAAATCCCGCTTGCGTTTATACAGTGGTAGGAAGGGGATAAAGCATTGGGAGATGCTCAGATGCTAAATATTTTGTTGTTGTTCCAAGGAAGCTGTATTGAAGCAGAGGATCTTTAAGTATTAGTAGTCTATTGCATTTACCCTGGAAGCATGTTAAAATTCTCCAGCTCAGTGGAAAAGTCAAAGTCGAAAATGGGGGCTTAGAGGCTGTCCCCCTGCACTAGCGATTGAGGGAGAGGGAGCCCCTGTGGCTGACTGGTTTGAACCCTGGCCCCACAGCTTGAAAAATGTGTCAGACACGGCGTGCCCATGACCAGAATCCCAAGGTGGAGAAGTGGAGAAGAGATTGTGGGGTGAACACACCCCACTGGGGGTGCTTTCTCCTCCTCCTCTATTTCTGTGTCTCTCCTTGGTGAGCACATGCACCCTGTGGCAATTAAGGGAAGAAAAAGAAAATGTGCGTTTAGTGTTTTCTTATCATTGACTGTCGTTAGTTGCCCTGGTGGTTTCCAGAATGGTCTTTCCTGAAATGATTCCTGAGGTTTTCTTATTTCCCATCTCTTTTCCTCCCTTCCCCTCCTATTACCATGAAACTCGTGTGGAATCTTACACACTGGGCCTAGGAAACCCAGCGTCATCCCTGCAGTATAGTTCTGGTCTAAATATTAAAACCTGCTCTCTGGGGTGGTGCCAGTCCTACCAGGAGTGAAGGCAGGACTGATAATGAGCAGCAGCTGTAATCAATTAACTATCAATGCTCACATCCTCTTTTCCATAATGAAATAGTGCAGTACATTGGACTATAGCCCAGATCATCTTGATTAAAATAGTATTGGTAGAAGTGGCTGGTGGAACTCTGGTCATATATCAGCCGAGCAAGTGGGCTCCTCACTAACCGAGGTGTCCCGAGGAGTGTGGCGCTCTCTGCTTACATGCCAGGGTGGATTGGGCAGCCTTTTTCTAACAGTTGAAAAACACGTCCTCCTCTGAAACTGGGTGAGCCTGGACTTCTCTCGTGTACGTCCGAAAGGAAAACAGTCCAGCCCCAGGTCTGTGGCACAGTCCATAGCCGCTGGTCTCTGGAGCTGGAAGCCACTTGCCAGCTGTGGGTCCAGTCCCCACTGGATAGGCCTGAAAACACAGTGCACCAGGCCCAGCATCCTGGCCAGCTGGAAGGCTGGAGGGAGGTGCCTGAGCCTTATGGAGGGTGCTTCTTTCTCTCCTCTCTTTTCTTCCTTCTCTCTCCCTTTCCATCTCTCCGCTGTCTCCCTCTCTCTTGCTCTCTGTCTCACATGTTGCTTGCAGACTTATACGCTTGAGGGCAACCGAAGCTCTGTGTGGGCTGGCATGGCTTCATTGGCCATGCACATTTCCCCTGAGCTCTTGCAAGCTGTTGGTTTCTGGGACCTCATTCGAAATGTTAGTGTTAAAAGTTCAAGGTCCACGAATGTTGAAATGGTTTAAGCCTCCGATGCCAAGAAACTTCATGGTAAAAGAAGTTTGATTTATTGGTTTCAAAATGAGTGTTGTGTGAGGTTCTTTTTAAACTGCCAGAGGGTGTATATACTCCCCAGAGAGAGGTCTGTGTGTCCCCTACCCCAACAGAATGTGGTCGTGCTGCAGCTCCTCCTCCATTCTCCATTCTCTTGGGATTTTTGCATGCACACACTCAGCATATCTTTCAAGTCTCTAGGGCCAGGATTTAAGTCGCAGTTGGCCATGGGGCATCTGTCTTCACCACAGGGTCACCCCACATTTTTAATGGGGAGGCATATTACATGTGGCTAGTAAGAATCTGCACTGGTTGCTGGGGCCTGGTTCATAACGGGTACACCACCTCCTTTTCCCATTCTATTCATATTCTCATGGTGCTGGTTAGCCCCCTGATTTTACAATGGAGAGGAAGTAAGTAATTTTCCTTTTTTTAGAATTATTTTATTTAACTTTATTTATTTATTTATTTATTTTTTAATTTGAACAGAAAGGGACAGGTGAGAGAGAGAGAGTGGGGAAGTGAGAAAGCAAGCCTCCAGGTCTAGGACTCGAACCGTGGCGGTTGGCCATGTGGGAGTCCAGTGCTCTTAACCACTACGCCACCTGTTGGTCCCTTAATTTTCAAACTTTGGTTGACGCTTTGAAGTCTTGACTGTCATTTAGTTCATTTTTAATTAAGAGTAAGTATCCTGGGGGCTAGACGGGGCCAGTGGGAAACGCAGTGGGAGAGAGCCCCACGAGGGAGCACCCAGCGCACGTGTGCCCTCCATCCAGGGCCCCTGGGGGCTGGAGCAGGCCATGGTGTCAGGACTCATGGGGTGTGTCTCCCTTTCCCTTGCTCCCTCCCTCTCTCTGTCACTCATGGGGGAATAAACTTTTTTTTAAAAAAAGAATAACTATCCTGAAAAAGTTAGTATTCTTTCAAGGTAAAGATTTTACTTCATAGTTTCTGGTTAGTTCTAGGTTGACTAGCAGGTTTCCCCTGTAAGTTCAAATATTTGACCATGCAGCTCTCAGCTTATCCTAAATTCATTAGGTGATCAATAAGGAAGATGAAAAGAATTACAGTCTGGTCATTGAGGCTGATCACTGCAGTACATTTAGCCATTTCTGGGCTCACCGTGCTGGTGTTGAGGACGGGGGCAAGGGCGGCTTGGTGGATGTGACAGTTAATGGATTCCATTGCCCCTCCTGTGGTCCAGGAGCTATCCAAGATCTTCTGTAGGCTTCCAGTAGAGGGAGAATGGTCGAGACTAAAGGGCTTCATAACGCGACATAGAAATGTCCATCCAGAAGGGGACGGGAGCCTTGGATGGTGGAGCACGAGTGGTTTGCAGAAACCATGTTATGAAAGAGAAGAAAATGCAGCATGACCTGAAAAAGCACATGTTGGTATTGATGCTTATTTGAATGTGAGTTTGTTTTTAAACGTTTAGACAGCTTTGATTGGTTGTTGCTGATCCCTGCAAAGTGCCCACTGTTGAAGGCTCTCTATTCCCCGCAGAGGAGTGAGAAGCTGCTGCTTTTAACCCTTTTAGAAAGGAATGCTGCCATGTTATGGAAAGGGCCGAGGCAGGTCTGCTCTCCTCTGGGAGCTTGACGGGCACTGGGACAAGTCCTGCCCGTGGTGAAGAGCTCAGCCTGGAAATTCTCCAGGAGGTGTCAGCCTGCCGTAGCTCTGGCTTTTTGTAGTCCAGCCCTTGCTGTCAAGCCGAGGGCAGGGACAGTGACCGCTGCAGGCAGGAGAGTTGAGACGTGGAGAGGCTGTTTGTTGTGCTGGAGGGTAAGGGTAAACTTAAAGAAATAAAGTGAATTTATTAATTACCTGTTCTGAATTAGTCAATTTTGAAGAAA